CTACAATTGTTAAGTGTATATGATAGAGTTATATAAGAATCTAGTCACAATCGACTTAGAATTGGTGGGTCCGCCTCACCTCCTGTTCCTTGTTTGGTTGTGGACCTAGAGCAGACCCATTATATTCAACGGTTTATTCAACTTAAATTTTATATAACTTATATACACTGGGCGATTATAGAAGGAATCTATGGGTACCTCTAGGGTTCATTATCGCATAACATAGAAGCATTCATTTCACTTAATAAAGAAAATATTGAAATTTCTGGAAACATACTTTGTCGCCTTTACAAGGAAAACGGTTTCTTTCTCAAACAAAACTCTTATGAACTCACCAACTTAATTGTTGACACTTTTTCAAAACTACTTGTATTCTCAGGAATTCAGTGAAACAGGAAATCAACCGCTTTTGAGGATGGGACGTTAAATCGTCAAACATTTCATTTTTGTCATCATAAGTGTAATTGTTTAGAAACATGTAAACACATACTATTGTATAACCTTTTCAATTATATTTATGGTGGTTGTATTTACTTTGGACACTATTATACTCGTTGTTGTGATACTATACATGAAGTCCTCCACCCCCGGACGTTTCCGCCATCCTTGGTTTGGGGGTGTGACACATTACTTATCTGCCAAAAACCCCCAGTACATAAAATAACAAGACTCATATTTTTTTTGGAAAATCAAATGAAAAGAACTGATCTATCGACCAAATGGAGCTAAAAATATGAAAAAGAACACTTTGTATCAAAAAACCCTTTAAAATGGCCGTTCCGACCACCCATTCCGCGGAGACATTACTCTCTCCGCGGAGGTCCTCGTAACCATCTCCGCGGAGGTACTTATGACTCCAAACAACTCACTCCGCGGAGGTCTTATTGTATCCGCAGAGGGCCTATGCGGAGCACTATTTTAAACGCTAAAAAATCATACTTTCGAGTGGTCCGCGGAGATGACGTCATTCCGTAGAGGTCCGCTGAGGGTCCTCTGCGGAATGTATGTCTATAGCTGGAAAAATCAAATTTTATGACTAAATTTAGAAATTCACCCCATTTTTTTTGTCTATTTGTGGTATTTTCCCTTTCTTTTCTCTATTTCTTCAGCATTTTCTGTTACTGTATGTTAAATCTTCAAAATTGGGTATATTCAACTGGAGCAAGCAAAGTGAAGGTAAGTTCGGATTATACCTGTGTTATTAAAGCATGTCGGGGTTTCCGCCAAGAAAGAGGCTGCTGTTAATTTTCTGACTGTTCCTTAGGCCGGCTGACGTTTTGATTTTTGGATGGGTTGCAGGGAAACGCGCATGTGTGGACCTTACGGGGGTATCCCCTCTCGTAGGCTGAGGGCTGCAGGTTTCACGGCGGGACAGACTGCATTAAAAGCTGCTACATGCAAGGTCACCAAACATGAGAAACCGTGCTTGGAAAATCAACACGTGTTCATACCATTTGCATTTGATACGTTTGGTTTTCTTGCGCCGAGTGCGGTGGAGCTTCTTAGTAAAGTACAACGGATCATGAATAACAATGTTATATATTTAGATCTATAAATGTAGTTTTCAAAAGAATTGGTTTTACTATACAAAAAGGTTTAGCGGCGCAACTTGTCGCCCGTTTACCTTCTTATTCGTTGTACGATGATAACTAAGATGTATTAACTTGTTTTTTAAATTAATGAATTCCACAAGTACCTATCTTGTGATTAAAAAAATATATATATATGAAAATATTCAAAAAATACTTAGATGAAAAAAAAACCAGAAAATATCAAGGCAGTAGTGTTGCCTGCCGCCTGATGGTCTTGCTCTTTTATTCACTGTGTATTATTTGCTTTGCTTAGCTATCAGAGTCCTCTTTTGAAAGGGAATATGATCGGGTTTATCGGGTTTTTGGAAAAGTAATCCAATCTGCAGAAGGTTTATCGACATGTTGGTTATTAATTTGTTGGTATTGTGAATTAGTCATCAGTTAATTTAGGAGTCAAATAAGTAACTCTTTGGTTACTGGAATTGTGGTAGTTTGTTGGAGTCTTTTTAGTATTTAAAGCTTTGTATGTTTCATTTTTTAGGTAGTGAATAGCAGAAGAAAATTCCCATTTTTTTTATCAGCTTTCGTTCCCTTTTCTTTTCCTTCGTGTACAGCTGCAACACAACATGTCTTGCTGTTGTTTTTTTCTTATTCATTCACTCCCATTTGGCTTTATACTCCACATGTTCTCATGGTATGTAAAGAACATTTTTTTCTGACTTTTCATACATCTTGCATACTTGACTACAGTGTACATATGATTAACTAATTGTTCATGATTAACTGATTGTTGGATGTGGTGGATATCCCCATATAGAGATCCGAATAGCATGATGGTAGAGTTTCATTTCCTTTTCTATTATTCTTATTTTGGGCATAAGTTAGTACCCATTTCAGTGCTACCCATATGGTCGAAGGTATTAATTATGTCTTTGGTATGGTTTGCAGTCTGTTGAAGATTGCATACATCATATATGGACCATGGAGTGGAACTTTCCTACCGATGGGTCGTAAACTCGGGAAAGAGTGGATTTATATGCCCCAAGGCTTTATTAATTAAAAGATTAGCATTTCTTATGGGGAGATTATTGATGGAAAACCCTGGGATGATGGGGTTTTTACCAATGTCAAAATAATATGTGTTCATATAGGAGTGATTTCTAAAGTTATTCATGCCATCCAAATTAAATATGCATGTCAAAAAAGATGGTAAATCAGTTTTGTCCCCAAGCCATGGAGATACAAACGAAGATTATAAAATAAAAAGGTAATATATACACTACCTTTAGACATTTTAAAAGATGTATATGCAAATAGCAGAATCATGGTCTTGGTCTTGATAGGTTAATTTGGATTGGGCGAACGAGTATTTGACTGGTATCTTAGGGTTTTATGGGCCCGTGAAGGAATCCAATGGGTTGGACTTTGGAGTGTATAAAATCCATTACTTTTCACACAAATAAGAAGTACGGGGCGTATGGACAAAAAAGGACGACGTGCTTATTTACTTCACTTCAACATCCTCTTAAAATAGACATCCATCCAACAGAGCACCACCGTTTAGGGAATAAATATGAGCTTAGGGTGGACAGAGTGGAGCTGGATAACCTGTGGTTTTGAGGTGGTACTGGCGTCTAAACCGGTCCAACCTCGGACACGTACCAATATTCGACGAGAAAATTATGTTGGTGCATCACCCAAATGTTCATTTATTTAGACCGACAAAGAATACAATCATGACAACTATCTTGTGGATGAGATATATCCAACTTGAGCTACTTTGTAAAATAATTTCCACATCCGGTAACCAATAGAAAAACAGTTCAATGCGGCACAAAAAAGCAACAAGAAAGGATGCCGAAAGAGCTTTTGGTGTCCTAAAATCTCGCTGGAGCATAATACAACATCCTACAGGGTCAATGTTGTCAAACAAAATAATAGACATAATGTACACTTGTAGTATACATAATATGATATTGCAAGATGAGAATCAGGGGCGGTTTTATTATGGTGCTCGTAGTGACACCGACTATGCCTGATATATCCGTACGCAATACAAAAAATTTCATAATTTTGTTATTTTTTATTATCGTGTCACTGCTTAAATTTCCCGTACCACTTCGTCTATGAAATCTTGTGTCCCACCTGATGAGAATGTTGCTATATCTTTGGTTCATCATTATACATATACTGATCCCCTTATCAAAGAAGTGAACTATATGATCCATGAATGACTAAACTGCACAAATGGTCCCTTTGGTTTGCTTAAAATTGCCACTTTGGTCCAAAAAAGTTTGGACTAGCACCACAGGTCCAAAGTTTTCATTTTGTTGCTAGTTTGGTCCAATTTACTTTGAACTTTTTAATAATGACGATTTTGCCCTTACTTGTTTCTTTTTTAGCTTTTTATTTATTTAAATATTTTTCTATTTAAAAGAAAAAAATTGCAGTGTCTATTTTGTTTATATAATTTTTTTATAAAGGAATAAAAATAAATAAATAAAATATGCAATCTCTCTCTCTCTCTCTCTCTTTCTATGGCATAAGAGAACAATTCATTTTTTCTTTCATCGTAACAAAAAAATCACTCATTTGAAGAAAATAATTAATCACCATAGCATATTCTGCATCCCACCCTTCTATGCATCGATTCATCGTTCATCATCTACATGTATGCTTTGCTTTTTTGCAACCCTATGTGTAGTTTCTGTTGGTTTAGACTAAAAGACTTCAAAAATCACCCCCTTTCCCTTTCGATTTTAGGTTTCAGGTCCAAATGAGAGGAGTACAAAGAGTACAGGGAATCGGAGATGGAGAGATGGGGTTTTTGTGCGTCAATCGAACAAACCCATAATCGATAGAGAAGAACGAAGATATGAAAGATCTAGGGTTTTTTGAGGAAGATAGAGAAGGAGAAAGAAACGGATTTTCCTTTGAGGGTTTTCACATTTGCGTTAGGGTTTCATGACAGTGGTTGCAACACTTATGGTCGAAGGTTTCTTAGTGGGGAAGATGAACATGATGCTAGGAACCACTCGATCTAGGCAGATACGTCAGCAATATCGGTTGCCATATGCCGGAGTCGCCGAAGACATTCTCGTGACAGACGTCAGAGTCGCCAGAGATGGAGACATGGCGTATGAGCGGCCAGAGACGGAGACATGGCGTATTAGCGGGGTTTTTTTCTCATCTCACCAAAAACTCTCCCTATCTGATGTATGTTGCAGGTGTGTGATGGTGAATAACAATCGAAGCACTAATTTTGGTGATGAGAGTGTGAGTTGAAGAATATGGGAATTAGAAGTTGAACTGTTTCTTGAGGTTTTTAAGATCGGCGATGAAGGTGAGGTTTTTCTGGTCAGCGATGAAAGTGAGGTTTTTCAGATCGACAACAAAGTTTTTAGGTTTTCCGATTGACGTCTGTGAAGGTTCTTTGGGTAGGTGACGAGACTGGTGAAGGAGAGATGCTTTAGATCTGGCGATGGAGAGGGATGTTCTTGAGTGGCAGAAAAATCTACTTGGAGATGGAGGTGGAGGATGGTGGTGGTGACTAATGGTTGTCAAAATCAATGGTTATGGGGTATGTGTTTTGAAGATCGAACCCAGAAGATGTTCTTCAGTTTATGTATTTATCAAACACAACGCGAGAGAGAGAGAGAGAGAGAGAGAGAGATTATTGTAAGAATTTTGTTTTCTGGTGGTTATTTCAAAAAATAATTATTTTTTTAATTATTGTAATATAAAAGTAATTAAAAAAAGTAAATATCAGGGGCAAATTCGTCATTATAAAAAAGTTAAAACCAAAATGGACCAAAGTCGCAACAAAATGAAAAGTTTGGACCTCTGTTGCTAGTCCAAACCTTTTTGGACAAAAATGACAATTTACAACGAAGCACATGGACCATTTGTGTAGTTTTGTCTCCATGAATTGTGTGACGCAGAAACCCACTATCAATTTCATTCAGCTCATTTTGATTACAACTAGGAAAAGGCTCGTGCGTTGCACGAGTGAAAGTTTAGTGGCAAAAATATAAAGAAGTAAAAATAAAGTG